TCCGCCCTTCTTCCACACTGCCTCCAGTGTCCTTAACTATTTTCAATACTTTTATGCCCTCCAGTCATTCCATCTCTACCATAGAGTGAGGACAGTAGATATATGTTAGGTGGAGACATACAATGTTTCTCTTTCATAGCCTGACTTGCTTCACTCAGTAATAAATCTTCCATATTTGTCCACTTTCTATCAAGTGCTAGGGTCTTGTTTTCTTTATGGCTTAATAGTATTCCATGGAGTATATGTGCTATAATTTTTCCATCTGTTCTTCTGTTCATGGTGGTTCCATATCTTAGTAATAGTGAATAATACCACAATCAACATAGATGTGCAAACATTTTTCTGACTGAGTATTTTCCTCTCCTGTACTTTGGGTAGATACCCAAGAGTGAAATTGCTGGATCATGTGGTAGTTCTTTTTGTAGGTCGTTGAGGAGACCCCATATTGTTCTCCACAGTAGCTGGACCAATTTATATTCCCACCAACAGTGTAGGAGAGTTTTCTTTTTGCCACACTCTGCCAACACCTATCATTTTTTTTTTTTTTTGAGAGGTTTTGCTATAGGGTGTGTGCGCTCGCCAGACAGACAGAGACAGGGAGACAGAAAGTGAGAAATCACCCCCCGGGGGGATGGCCATGCCACAATCCCTTCTCCTCTATTCTCCTCTTGGGATCTTGGGCACACACGCACACACGCCCCGCGTGAGTTTAGCCACCAGGCCCAGGACTCGAACCACGATTGACTACATGGGAGTTCAGCGACATAGCCGTTATGCTAACTGCTGGTCCCCATTTGACTTTTTTTATAGTCACTTATAAAGTCATATGGTCATTAATTTTGAGAACTGTTTGTATGTGAGTGCTGATACATATGAAAACCCCAGTAGATCTCACTGCATGTCACCCATGAGGGTAGACAATGGAAGGAATGCCTTCCTGCAACATACTATTATTTCTGGACTGAAAAGTTGGGGATGAAACTTAATTTTCTTCTTCTCTTCTTTTCATCTTCTTCTCCTTTTTTCCCCCTACATCAGAAAACATAAGTTAGTGTGCCTAGTTTCCTGTTGACATAGCAAATGAAGCAAATTGATGATAGTGTTAATTCAGATTGACAACATTTTCTGAATCTAGTTTGTGGAGAGGTACAATCTATTAATACATGAAATATTAACTGAATTATATCTGTAATTCTACAAGTATATATTAGCTCCCTCCTATCCCCTTTCACATCATTAGTTTATTGAATTTTATAAACTGGCATTGAAATATTGCAAAGATGTCTCATTTAATAGATTTTATACTTTTACAGTGTAACACATGTTAGTTTTCTGAGGCAAACCAAAGGTAAATTTCTCAAGATTTTTTCTTCCTTCTTTAGCAACATTTGATGAAGGATCTTTCAAACATTGGTAGTAGATAAAAATAGATCAAAACTTTTTTAAAAAAAGTCTTAAACCATGGATGAAGTGTTTGATTCAAATTGCACAGGATAAGTTAAACTTGAATTGCATTTTATTAACCAATAGGAGTGTCTTTCCATAAGCATAGTTATATTGAAATAAAGTTTTAAAATACAACACACAAGAAAATAAAAACACAAAAATAACTGAAGGGCTTCCGAAAGTATCATTCCATTTTGAAACTTTATTTATTTATTTTTTACCACTTAAGTAGAGCCCTAGAACTCAGTAAGGAGGAAGAGACATAATAACAATTTTTTAAAAAACAAGATTGCCTTTAACAGAGAAAGCCAAAGAGCTATGAGTTAAAGGTTTTTTTTTTTCCCCATTAGATTCTGGAGAAAAAAATGAATGCACTGAAGACCAGTAAGTAGATTATGAGAAGGATCCATGTCTCATAATGATACTTTTTACTTTTAATGAACCCTCAAAATTTTTCCAATAAATAATACCTTGTGTCAACTTGCTCATAGTACAGTTTCTCTCACCTCCAAAGTTTAAATTGTTTTTTACATGTCCCCTTTTTAGACACTGCCTAACTTATTACCAGGAAAATGCAAGTAAACCAACTAAAATTTAGGCTATGGCAGACTTTCCTCATATGCACATAACCACGTGGTCATGAACATGAGAAACCCTGTTTCCTGTCTGGGTGAATTTAGGAACTACGCACACACACCACCAGACACTGAGACGCCTGTACTTAAGGGAGGAGGAAACACATCTGAGTAGGGAACACAGGCCACATGCTGCTCTCCAGCCTGCTGTGGGTGACAGTGGCCTTCACCTGCTCTGGTATGGAGGGTTCCAAACATGGGCAAGACTGTAGGGGGTGAAAGGAGGAAAGGACTGCACACAGTAGTTAGGTGCTTTCGGAAGGACTCGATGATTAGAAAGGGGGGCTAAAGAAAAGCAAGCTTAGTATGATTTCAGTTTGGCTTGTCTTTGGGTTCACATTAGTTAAATTCAGCTGTTTTCTGTTTTTCTTTTCCCCACAGGACCCAGTGTGGCTCAGAAAGTTACTCAAGTCCAGTCAGCTATATCCGGGCCAACAGGGACATCAGTCACCCTGGAGTGTGCGTATGAGACAAGCTGGACCACATACATTCTTTATTGGTACAAGCAACTTCCTAGTGGAGAGATGATTTTCGTTATTAATCAGGGATCTAGCAGACAGAATGAAAAGAATGGTCGCTATTCTACCAACTTCCAGAAATCAGCTAAATCGATCAGCCTCATCATTTCATCCTTACAACTAGAGGATTCAGCAAAGTATTTCTGTGCTCTCTGGGAACTCACAGTGTTTGAAGTGATAGTAAAAGCTGAACAAAAACCCCAGAGCTTAATAAGAGAAATCATCCTTTTGCTGTAGGAGTCCAGCTGAGGTGCACACCTGCAGATGCCAGACAAGAAGTAGTGACTCTGGTTGCTTAATCTGTGGTCTGGATCAGAAGTTTAATTCTACGTAAAACCTCCTATTTCACTTGGAAACAGGTGTCCATAGCAACTTTCTTGTAGTACCTTCTCAGTCTTGAACTTTTGGTTTAAAATAAGGCATACAAAACATGTATTGGTAAATGAAAAAATTTGCCCCATAATATTTTAAAATGGCAATTTTGGGACCCGCAGTTAGCGTAATGGCAATTTCACTGGACTCCCACGTAGTCGACAGTGGTTCGAGTCCCAGACTGGGTGGCTTAAACTCACACTGGGTGCATGTGCGTGCATGCCCCAGGTCCTGAGAGGTGAATAGAGGAGAAGGTATTGAGGTGTGGCCATCTCCCCGAGGGGTGATTTCTTGTTTTCTGTCCCTCTGTCTCTCTGTCTTTCTGGCGAGCGCACATGCCCTATAACAAAACAAAACAAAACAAAACAAAACAAAACAAAACAAAACAAAAACCTCTCAAAAAAAATGGCAATTTCACTTAAAGATGCTCACATCACAGATCTGTCTAATTATCTGGAATTACCATGAAAGCCATTTCTCTAGACCTTTTCCCTTAGGCTTTATGTCTGTTGGGTGCAATCAGAGAAACAGAACCCCCATGAGTGATATGGAACTAGAGATTAATTATGAGCTTTAGATCTTATTGGAGTAATTATTGGAATTGGTGGAGGCACATATTCAAAGCTGTTACCCTTGACTGAATTTACTGTAGTGCTGTTAGGTTAACATTCGGGAAGGAAAGTTAAGATGTGGACAAGAGATTGCACATAGTGTGATTCGTAAGTAAGGAAGTGCTGGAACCCCTGAGGACAATTAGAACCTACAAGGAAAACTAAAACTTGCCTGTCTCTTACCCAGACCACCAGCAACATGTGTGAGAGGCCTCAGTTCCTGGAGTCTGCACCAACCTGAAGAGCAAAAACATATGGTAGCTACCTCAAACCTACCTTCCAAATCTTGCACAGGGTTCTCTCATGGCCAGTCCTGACCCAGAGCAATGCAAAGAAACATATTCTGGAAAATACATTTCTAGATAACTTCAACTGATACAGTAAGAAGCTACCACAGTACCTTCTTGGTATCTTGGCATCCAAATATACCACCACCACCCCCAGGCGGAATGGCCACACCACAATCCCTTCTTCACTCTCCTCTTGGAATTTTGGGCACACAAATACACACGTCTGGCATGAGTTTCAAGTTGCTTGGCCTAAGACTTGAACCACAGTCAGCCGTATGGGAGTCCAGAGACATGACCATTTCATCATCTGCTGGTCCTGAGATATTTATTGGCACATCTTTTGCTGCTACATGTAGAAAAATGGGGGAGAGTCAACTGGTTAATGTGTATGTAAATATATTTATATCAGAAAGTGTCCAGGATTATTACAATCAGTTTCTTTAAATGGTCATATGATTGTGCCTATTTGTTTTGTTTTTAAATATGCTATGTATGGTAAAACCTAAAAATAAACTTGATAGAGAATCTATGCTTTTGCCAGAGAGAAACAGAGAGACAAGGAAAATAAAAAGCATCCCCTCATGGGGCCTGGCCACGCTTCAACTCCCTCTCTTCTATTTCTCCTTTTGAGATTTTGGGCATGTTTTTCAAGCCGCCTGGTCTGAGACTCAAGCCATGCATTTGGTCATGTGTGATCCAGCCCCTTTACCATCGACACCACTGTCGATGTTTTTAATACCTCTCTCTTCTGTTATCTGTTTCATAATCTCTTTGCTCCCAGCTAGCTCCTCCACTCGCTGATACACTTGATTTTTTTTTTCTACATGCCATGAATATATTTTGGAGTTAGATCCAATATTTTTTTTAGTCATAAAAAAAATTGGTCTCCTAATGACAAGAAAATAGCAAATTAAGGACCTTGAAAATATCACACAAAGAATTATCAACTCCAAACAACTAATCATAATAATGATTGGGTTGTCTGGAAAGTCACGACACATTGTTCATGGAAAGCCTAGAAAAATATACCTATGACTTTTCTGATGGCCTGATATCTGACAATATCTGTGAAGAACAGTAATATATATAGACAGGTATATTTAAAGTTAATACAGCTTATAGAAAAGAGAATGTTTATCCAAACAGATTAAATCTAAGTTCACACAGGACAGTTTTTTTTTCTTTTTCTTTTTTCTTTTTTTTTTTTTTTGAGAGGTTTTTTCACTATAGGGCACGTGTGCTCACCAGACAGAGAGAGACACAGAGACAGAAACTGAGAAATCACCCCCCAGGGGGCATGGTCACACCGCAATCCCTTTGCCTCCATTCTCCTCTCGGGATCTTGGGCACGCACGCACACGCGCCCGGCGTGAGTTTTAAGCCACCGGGTCCGGGATGCGAACCACGGTCGACTATGTGGGAGTCCAGCGACATAGCCATTACACTAACTGCTGGTTCCCAGGAAAGTTTTTTTAAAAAAGGCCTCTGCATTCAGATTTAGAGAAATCAAAATAGCTTGTATCCTGTGAATTTCTCTTGATGCTTCAAATACTGTGCAAAAACATTTCCAAATTTCAAGTGTGCACCTGTTAACTGCTTATGCATGGGAGTTTAAGAACAAACTGCAGATCAGCATCCAGAAGTGATTGTCTAAGACACACATGAATTCCCCTCCATGAGAGAGACAACTACCTTGTTGAGAAAATAGTAAATACCCCTACCCCATGGCCAGGGACCTCAACCCTCCGAGGACAGCTCAAGAGTTCTTCTAGACACAGATCTATTCTCGATGGTGGGCAACTTAAATAGAAATTGATACTGTGTGTTCTAGACAAAGCAGCAGAACAGATATATGTGACAATCTGGTGTTTCACATGCTTTGGAAAGTCAGTGGCGTCTTTGTGGTTGGTGTTGATGTAGGAGCCTTAAATTCAATCAATAGCAGTACCTGCTCCTTCCTCTTTCTCTCTTGATCACGAATGTGTTCAGCAATGATCCTTTCAGTTTTCTCAGAGAGTCTGGGAAAGTTTGCCAGTTTTTTGGTATACATTTTGACTTTGTTGATTAATTCTTGTATTACCAGAGTCACACTTGTCAAGGAAGGCTCCTTCAGCTTTGCAATCGTTTTTTTGACTATTGCTTCACATACTGTATCTGGAGTAAGCAACCCTGTCCTGATACCATGTATGTTTTTGATTGCATAGCTCATTTGTCTGTGTAGTTCTTTCTCATTGAACTCTGTCTTTACCATCTCAAAAGGAAAGTGTTCATGGGAAATATGATTGATCTTAGCATCACCTGGGAGCTCCAGAGTGTCCTTTTGGTCCCCTGGCCACTGAATTCTCTTCACAGCAAACTGCTGAATCCTATGGAGCAACTGTCCCTGGAGTTTGTTCCTGAAGTTTGGCAGAGTATCTTAAATATAGCTGGTAAGTCGCTTCTGCAGGTGTGGGATCTCTATCCAATCGACAGTATGTCTTTAAGCTGGATGGGAAAGAAGAAATGTCCTCCCTTCCAACATGGACCCCTAATGCTCTTCTTCCCATCTATGTCCTTCTGGCTGCTGTTTACCACACCCACAAAACCCTGCTAAAAGGAAGCAACTTGTTCTCAAGAACATCACTAGGATCAGTCCCTTCATCCACAAGATCCAGTTTGGTCAATGGCCCTCAGTCCTTGAGGATCTACTTCTTTAGCTAGGTTTAGTGCATCCAAATTTGCAAGATCAGTGTTATCAGTGTTAACAGGCAAAATCAGACAGTTCTCCCTTGTGATAAACTGCATAATCATTTCTCTGATCTTATTCTTCATATCTAGTGGCCGGTCTCCCACAGGCACCTTGGTTATTCTGGAAGGTTGATAAGGGTTAGATTTAGCACATGTGGGGATTAGAAGGTAGTGTAGTGGTTAAGTCACTGGACTCTCACATGGCTGACTGTCGTTCGAGTCCCGAACCTGATTGTCTGCTTTCTCACTTTCCCTCTCTCCCTTTTTTTCTGTCTCTCCGGAGAGTACACATGCTTTATAGCAAACTAATAAATATAATAAATAAATAAAATTATATACATTTTTAAAAAAGATTTAACACATGTGGAGAATAGACTTGTAAATTACTGGGTATGGAGGAAATGCCTTTATTCGTTCTGGTCACTGCATCTGTTTCTGCTTCAGCTCACAGACGACTTAACGAGAATCTGTAAATTTTTTCCTTAGCAATGCAAAAATTTAGCATATCATGTAGGAAAAGACTGAGTAGTTGGTGATCCCAAGGAGCTTGCAGCTTCAATGCTCACTCTGCTACACACCTCATAACTTATCTTCTGCTGCTCCTCCGAAGTCTCATCTGACTTTCTATAAAACAAACTTCTTGGTCAGAAGCAATTCTACATGAAATGTCACAAAGTTGAAGAAGGAATTCTTATGTTATTATTGACTCTAGTCACCCTGCTGTGGGACAGATCTAAAAACTTCTTCCTGTCTCTTTGAAACTTTGTTCTTGCTCACCTTTGTTCCCCATCTCTGCCTTCCCCACTTCCAGTCTCTGGGAACCATCATTTCACTCTCTACCTCTATGACTTCCACTTTTTTTTAGATCCTACATACATGAAAACCATTCTAACCTTCATTGTTGCATTTCTTACCTTCATTGTGGCATTCTTGTTTGTGCCTAGTTGTACATATACATTGTTGTACACATATATAAAAATATCATATTTATTGTGCCTCATAAAATGTATACAATTATGACTTGTCAGTCAGATATAATATTAATAACTTAAATAATCAAAATATATAAATGAACAAGAAGGTGCAAAGTCAATGCACAGATTAGCAAATCTTATTTGCAATGCATATTTCTGAGGAAATAAGTCAAATATAGAAAATATAAAAAGGTCATGCAAATCAACAAGAAAATAATCAGGGTTAGCAGGAGGCATGGAGGCTAATGTTCTAGATGCTACAT